CAGGATTGCCTTACAAGGGATATACGCCAATCGTTTATATAGATCTACTGCAGGACCAGCAGATTACACTAAGCAATACAACCAACTTTTATCCCACATTCATTATGCTGCTATTGGCCATACTGATGATCTGTCAGATCTGAAGAGATATTAATTTATTTGTCCACGTTACGGACTTGCCATGAAGAAGCATGACTCTTCTGCTTTTCTATTGACACACTGTTTATAATTACTGTTCAGTAATCTTTTCCTCTCCCACCGGCCTGGCGGAGCTCCGCATTTTGTCCCTCGCTTGGAACGGAACATCGCCGGCGAGCGGGTTACTCCTCAACCAGGGCTCCGGCTCGGTCTCGCATTAGACGTTCCTTATCCGGACATAGGCCCCCGAGCACCTATGACCACGGATGCACCCATAGCCCCTAAAAATAGGTGTGGTGGTATCCGAGTACTTCGTCTTCCTCGCATGGCCACGGTTCTCTGGGCGATGTCGGGGTTTTCCGCCCCAAGAGCGGCACCCTTACATCACCGCAAGGGTGGTGTCGAGGGTATCGCGAGTCATGATGGACCCTTTTTCCGGTAGGGCGTCCTTTCTTTCCTGTTCTTCGCGCGGAATACTTGCTAGTGTATTTAAAATCCGAAAGCTCTCCATTATGCGTGTGCACTCTCTTTGCTGAATTGAAATGTCCTGAATTCGCTTTCTTGAAAGTTGCCCAAGGGTATTCTTAAAGTATTGGCTGTGAGCCGCCAGCACTGAACCATGGGCTATCGCAATGAGGCTCTCCGCGGGTCCGGTTCGACGAAATGCCATATTCACTTGCACAGCTGCGCCGGATAAGTTGTCGACCGTTTGTAGCTCTCAGAATCTCCCTGAAGAGAGCCTGTGTCATAGGTAGGTGAAGTGTGTGCTCCAGCAGCATTAATCATCAAAGCTCTAAGAAGACTTCAGCAACGGGACAATGGCGAAGTCGGCGAAATCGGCGAACGTGACATGCTTGCGTGATAGGAACGGTCCCTGCAAAGTCGGAGGTGAACTACGTGGTTTTTAATAAGAACATGGAGCAGATAAGATCTCACATCAAGGGGAAGTTTTGAGTTGTTTGTGTAAACTCATGGAATGATTCATTCTGTAATAGCAGAGGCGTGTCACTAGAGCTCAACAGGAAGGCACCCTACCGCAACAATGGCGTTTCCTCGTCAGTGCCAGTCCTGGCCTCCCCGCTGCTCTCCTCATTGCCGTGCTCTCCAGTCAACCAGTTCTTGAGATGCTCACGAATCTCACTGTCACGGTAGATCCACGCAACACAGATTCCTGCGCCGGGGCCGAGAGGAATAGCCGCAGCAACAGCCACCAACGCAACCTTCCACCCACCCTCGACGAGCAGCCAGTACAGCACCGTAAACCCGATGAACGTGACGTCGATCTCGATAAACTTGACGGTCGCGCGCGTCATCTCCTTCCTATCATCGCGCTGGAACAGGCTCCAGATGAGGAAGACGTGCGAGACGACGGAGCAGACCATCGGCACGAGGTAGACGAGCAGCAGCGAGACGGTGTGCGACTCGAGGTGGAAGCTGCGGCGCTGGCGCTTCTGCAGACGCAGCACTCCCCAGCGGACAGCCTGCCGGACGAGCGAGACCCACACGGGGAAGAAGAGCCAGACGGCGATGGTGGCGGGCGAGTTGTAGATGAGCATCAGGATGGAGGGCAGGACGAAGCCCCAGGCAACGCTGACGGGGATGGCGACGATCTCAGCGTCGACGTTGAGGTGGCGCGCGTGCTTGCCGAAGTCCGGGTCCTTGGACTCGGCGCTCTCGACGACCTGCTTGCCGGCCTTCTTACGCGCGAGGTAGATGGAGCGCGAGCGGTGGAAGAAGGCGGGGACCATGACGAGCTCCCAGACGACGGCGCCGCCGATGAGATTGAAGACCAGCCAGGGCCCCGTGGGGTTCGCGATGAGGACGTTGGGGGCGTTGCAGATGCGGGCGGCCTCGACGGTGGTGACGGTCATGAGGCCGGCGATGAAGGAGAGGACGGCGGACATGCTGGCGAAGGTGCGGGCCGAGTCAAGGGCGTTCTGGAAGAAGCTGATGGCGAAGCAGACCGGGGTGCCGAAGACGGGGACCTTGCTGATGGCGGGGAGGCGCGCGCGGGAGTCGCATTGCGAGTAGAGCAGGGCGATGTTGACGTCGGAGTGGATGAAGAGCGCGGCAAAGGTCGCGATGGCGAGGAGGACGGGGATGACGAGCAGGACGCGGTAGGAGAAGACGTGGATCGGCACCGGCCAGCGCGTCGGGGGCCAGGATGCCATTTTGGTGGTGATTTCTGAGCTCTGTAGTTTTCAGATGAGCTCACACTTCTTGGGTGAGATGGAGTTGTGAGTGTTGAAGCTTGGTGTATCGTTCGCGAGATGATCCGGTCAGCTCATTCACTAGGTGAGGTACCCAAGAGCTAAGGTAAGCTCAGCTCAGCTCATTTCAGCTCGTGACAACATGGCGCACGTGCCGCCTGACGCGGTTCCCAATGGGGTTTGGGGTTCTGCAGGAGCTGTCCGCAATTAGCGCCGCAGCATCACTTGCAGCGAGCCGAGACCCCTGAGATTCCGCTCCCCTCGTGTCTCCGTCTGCCGGCTTGTGAGACATTGTGGTCAGCTGCCTGCGCCTCAACACACCACGCAAGTCTGCCCTTTTCTTATTTTGTTTCCTTTGAAGATGATATCAGATTTGAATTCCCGGCTGAGCTCTGAGATGAACTCAATTGTGACAGATGAGATGAACCTTTTGAAGGCTCTTTCATCCGAAAGCTTTTGGACCCCAGGCTATCTGGTCTCATGTCGGAAACCGAGACCGAGCGTGTTCCGGATGCCCCGAATCTGCACCGGGTGGGTGGCCTGCTAAGTTTCACAGCTACACATTCATGTCAAGCTGTTTTCCTGTGGGCTCGAGTTGATATTATTCAAGTGAAACAATCAAGTTCATAACACAACATACTCACGTACTAACTAGTATCTTGGGAGATCAAAAGGCTTTCCGAGAGTCCATCTGTTAATGCTTTGTTCCCAAGAAATCAAAGTCCGCCGACCTCTCGCGCGCCTCTTCTACACCGACTTCTCTTCCACGCTAGACTCCCCGCGTCCCTTGTAAGTACTCTCCGGCAGCGCATTGAGGGCATCCTCCTCCTTGTCAAGCTTCCGGAACGTCAACCAGAACCCGATCCCTCCCAAACAGCTGATGATGGCAATGGTGGTATACAACCAAACCAGCAGCGGATCAGCAGCCAACCCAACAAAAGCCTGCGCAATCGCGCTCGAAAACGCGTGCACGAACCAAAACACTCCCGTCACCAGCCCGCGCATATTCCGCGGCGCCTTCGTGAACGCATACTCCAGCCCCGTGATCGACGCAAAGATCTCGCTGAGCGCAATCAGGATGTAGCACGGCGTCTGGATCCACACCGTCATGTCCGGCGGGCCGCGCTCGCGGATGCACTCCACGTCGCCGGCGCTGCGGCCGCACGGCGCGCGCGCGTAGATGAAGTGCTAGATCACGGCCGCGACGACCATCGAGAGTGTCGCGCAGAGGAAGCCGACGGTGATCTTCTTGATCGGCGTGAAGCGCAGCCCCGCGCGCTCGATGGCCGGGTAGATGAGCTTGTCGCAGATGGGGATGAAGATGAGCAGCGCGAAGGGGTTGAGGTTCGTGATGATGTCGTTGGGCAGCCCGTCGAGGCGCATTGTCGCCGCTTGGTTGATGAGGTTGTTGGAGATCTGGCCATACGCGAGCCAGAAGACGGGGAACCAGAGGAAGACGGCGCAGGCCATGACGCCGCGGCGGACCTCGTCGACCCAGGCGTCGTCGAAGGTCATCCAGGACGGGCGGTTGGGCACGGCGCTGGGCTTGATGCGTTCCCAGAAGGAGTCCTTGCGCATCGCGAATACGCCACCGTGGCCTTGCTTGATGCCGTAGCCTACCAGTGCAATCGACTTTCCGAGGACTGAGCCAGTGGGTGGGCGCTTGGCGTATTGCTTACGGCAAAGAACCATGACGACGGGGCAGCAGAAGAACATGATTGTGGGGAGGAGATACGACAGCCAGAAGCCGACGTACTTTTCCGCGTACACCATGGACACCTGGCCGACGAGAGCGCCGACGTTGATGAGGAAATAGTAGCGCATGTAGACGCGGGAGATGGTCATCACAGGATCGACGATGACACGTTCTCCTGAGGGAAGGGTCTTGACGGTTTGGCGGGGCTTGGTGAGCTCGTACTGCTCTGCAATCAACGGGCTGATGTTGGCCTTGAACCACCCCACGCCGGTCCCGAAGAAGACCAGCCCGATGATGAAGGCTCCGAGGGCACCGCTTGGGTTGGAAATTACCGAGGGAATAGCGGCGATGATGATCAGAATGTGGCCAAACGTTGCGACAACAATTGCGTATTGGATGGTGAGGTAGCGGCCCCAGTAGGTATCGGCGAGGTAGCCGCCTGCTGGATGTCAATCTCCTTCATTCTCACTTGGAGGAACGGAATTTTGAGCCTACCGACTAACGGCATAACGTAGGACCAGAAAGAGTTGAAGAGCGTGAGCGCCGTAGATGCCCGCTGGCCCAGGCCGAGCGCGCCGGCTTGTTCATGAGTACCGCCAGCACCAGTCGTCGAGTTCGGGGGAAGGGGATACGCGATGAAGTTGACGACTAAGGCAGGCATGTCAGCGATGAGAAAGCTCCTGCGCATCGGCCATTGACTCACAGACTGCGGTGGTCCCGTAGTACGCGAACCGCTCACACATCTCCACGAACCCGATAGTGTAGATGAGCCAGGAAACCTTGCCGTGGACGCGGCGCAAGGTCGTCTGTTCCTCCAGCGTGGGGTAGATCTCTTCATTAGGCCCCGTCAGTGTCTCGTGCGAATCGTTCGCGGGGAGTAGGTCGCCTTGGTACGCTCCAGGCTTCTTCTCGCTATTGACCCCTTTCTCGATGGCAGGAAAGTCAGCCTGCGCGGCATCGACCATGTCTAGGTCTGGTGCGGTCGACATCGTTGATTACAAGTTTCTTCTCGTCTGATCGCGAAGTATGGATAATTCTATTGGAAAGGGATGAGTCTGCAGCCATGTAAAGGTCAGCAATGCGTATCGCCGACTCTGCCAAGGAACATGTAAGTGTAAGGGGCGCCAACCACCTTGAGGGTTCAATGGCGGGGTCGGGGCATTTTCTAGCTTCTCTCACATGAACAGCAGAGCTGCAGGCTTCAAGTGCGGCACAACTACTGGCACAGGCCAGGAGTGCGAAGACTTCATTGAATGTACGATGGTTGCATTTCGTGGTCTTGGCTGCGTTCAAGCGAACGAGTGCCGAGAGATAGCAATGGTCCAAGGTGCCCCGTATGGGCGATTTTACCCGCCAAAGCTACGTTGCACAGAAGCCTAGCACTAGCATCTTCACGTAAGTTATGAGAGGGATTGCCCAATTGGATCGTACGTGTTGAAACGGCACGGCGATTGCAGCGACCACGAGCACGCCCAGGGCTTGAGATCGATATCAGCTGCATACATGATAGGATGGTCGCTTTGATACCCCACATCTTGGCCTTCCTTGAGAGGAATTCGATTCTCGGCCGATGGTTGGGACGAAAGACGGAAGATATGAACCTGTGGTCTTGGCGGCCTTGGCTTCCTCCAAAACGGCAGGCGTCAAGACTTTGGAGAAGCCAGGTGACTTTGTCGACTGGGCGCGAGCTACTTGTGCAACAACTGTCGTTAGTCAACCACAGTGAGAAGCCTTGTCATACTGGCGATAAACTGTCATGACGGGTAGTTGAAATAGTACAACTCGTCAAAGCGGCTTTCCCTTGGTCTTATACTGGTATCTGCAGTGGCAGTTGACAGGCAGTTATCTACTTTCAAAACTGAGGACGAAAAATATTAGATTCAAGCACAAGTATCACATCCCAGGACATGTCGGTCCCAGTATTAATGCAATTGAGAAGACCCTTGATACGCTGAAGAACCGGCCGAACGGCCAACACGAAGTCAGTCCGTTGTTCATGTTCATTGGCATGGCTGGGTTGAGGCATGGAACGGAGATGCGAAGATACACAAATGCATTGATTTTAAAAAAGCTGTTTTACGAAGAAATGATTAAGACTTCGTAGCTTTGGTCTATTTGCTTGCAGCAGTCCGAGTACTTCTGATCTCAACTGTCAAAATTTCGTGCACATCCAGTTCAGCTAGCCCCTGCCTCTGAACCCCTATGTAGGCTGACGTCTGGCCCTGAAGCCCTTCTGACCACCAGGCCCTGCATCGAACCGTATCTAGTCACGGGTTAGCTACTGAACATGAATGCTGCATGGAATGAAGATACCAGAAGCCGTGATATCGCCGTGTTGACGCCTGCCGGTCCGAGACTCATTACACGGAGATTTGGCCAAGTTACTGGTCAATCTTACGCCGGTGATTCCGTGAAATCATTGTTTTATGTCACCGTTTAGGGTTTCGACTCGGCCGCGGAATTGATAGACAACCTAGTATCCTTGAGGCTCAGGAGTAGTGGATCAATGTGTCTGGTTACCTTAGATGAGTCACAACAAACTAGTAGTCGTCCTCGATTGTTCCCAGGTAGACTTCATGACTAATTTAAGAAGAAGACAAAGCCACCTGTCTGTCTGCAAATTTGAAGTCTTCCATCTCTGTCGCCTCAGCCAGAGAATCACATCATACCACGCCTCGTCTCTTCCTCGCCGGATATCAATCAAAATGCAGCCCCTCAAGACCGTCATCACTTCTGCCTCTGTACTTGCGACTCCGGTCTTTGCGAGTAGCAACGCTCCTTCAATCTTCTGATTTCTCCAGAGAAGACTGACACAGCAATTAGGCCGCTATGTGCACTCAGTTCGGAGAATGTGCCGAGGGAAACACCATTAAGAAGTGTATCAGTGGCAGCTGCATCGACAAGGCTGGGTACTTCTGCACCATCAATCGGGATACTCAGCTGTCTCTAACTTGAGGAGCCATGCGTATTAATGGTAAACAATACTCTAATCACCGCGTAGTCGAGTATTATCGGTCATCGAAACTTACTCGACGGCGAAGTCCCAGCTCAATATGTGCATTGGATACGTGTGATCGATTCATTTGTGGTTGTCTAAGCAGTACTGGTTTGGGAAACAGGCGTCTACGGCCGCCACAGCTTTACTACCAGCGCGGAGACTTGAGAAGACGTCAGGAACTTCACCAGGAGTAGGTAGCTTCAAGCTTCAACTACATCACCTTTCCTTCTTCTCTTACGTAACCAGTCTCTGAAATTAAGTCTCCCCGAAGTCTTCGACTCGTTTCTTGATCGTTCTTTTTCCCTCTTTGACAGAGTCGACACCGTACCATTCTTAAGCCGAATAAGAGCCTTCTCCAGGGTCTTTTCGCCCTCTTCAGTGACGAAACCTGGAACATCTTCCTCACTTTTTAACTGCACTACCGTGTTGTTCGCCACCGTCCCCAGCTCGACAAGACTTAGCCAAGGAACGTTCGTGCAAGTCTCCGCATTTTGGTCCTCAGATGCTTTCGGAGGTTTGATGCCGTAGAAGATCAAAGGCAACACGTTCGACTTCCAAATTGGTCGTTGTCGGCCAAATGCGTTTCTCTTCAGATGTGCTATCCAGAAGAGCACCGTGGTGAGTAAAAGAAGTAGTCCTGGGTAGAGTAGCCACGCCCAGTACGCCTTAATGCAAATTGCGGGCTTGCTGCTTGATCCGCTGACACGACCATGTGGCAAGCCATCTCCGTCCAAGCCAGCGGTGCGCATGAGATTCGTCACCGAAGTGGCCATGCCATCAAAAGCTCTGGAAACGCTGTCCAATGACGCATGTCCTTCTCTGAATACCGAGTTTATCCACCATTTGCCATCGCATTCCGCGTCTTGGAGCTTTTCACGTCGGCCATCGCTATTCATGTCGGAAACACTGCAAGACCCCACAATTGTCTTGTTGATAAAGTCTTGAATACTGCCGTATGTGTCCGGGCTGAAGGTTTCCACGCATTGGTTTGGGTATGTCTCGCCGTTTTTTATATCCCACTTCGTCCAATTGTAACCGCTTTTAAACGAGGTTAGATTGAATGCATCAGATATGTTTGAAGAGGAGTAGCAGCGGGTCTCGGAAGAAGAGTTGTCAAAAGAGAACCTGGTAAGACAACAAGGCTCAATGAATGTCATGAAGACTCCATCATTTGTACCAGCGGCCCCACTAGTATAATTTCCAGACTTTGTTGCATATTCCAGCGGACGTTTGGAGACTATACTCTCATGCAAGGTGTTGTTAACGATCTGACCGTGATAGGTCCGAGAACATGGATAAATAGCGCAGTTGACAGCCAGCACACCTGTCCCGGCTTCGCGACGGGTAGAATACGATCGCACTCCCCCAGCTGGAGAACTTGTGGTAAGAGCGCGGACGAAGACTGTCATATTTTCACCTCGTAATGAGCCGAAAATAGATGGCGTGAGATATTTGCTAGAGCCCGCCAAGTCTGGCATCGATGTGAAATTAGCCCTCATATCCAGTACGTATGAGCTATTCTTATCTCCATTGAAGGATATTCGCAACTGGCTGTCCGAATTTACCACACTATCAATCTCCGCAGACTTGTCGGCTGGTTCGACACAACTGCTGCAAAGACCCGCGGAGGTGTGCGTGATACCATTGGACTCGTCAAAGCTGCAATTTCCAATGACGCAACCAAACAGACTTGAGGTGGCAATCGACATATTGGCACTCCCGTACATCAAACCGTTCACTGCGACGCCACGCATCTCAGGAGTGATTTGAGTGGACACGTTACGAGTGACCAGAATTTCGGCTGTATTTGCCGAAGTTTGATAGCAAGTGTATGTAGCGGAAGCTTGTTGGGAAAATGGGCCGATTGCGGGGGAAGCAATGACAACGATGGCGCCCAAAATGGTCAATATCCTAGATCATACATAGAATATCAGCCATCAGTGATCATCTACCATGAACTTCGGGGGAGTACGAACGGCTTCCATGAGAAGAACAGAAACTTCAAAGATCCCCACGGACCCGTCGTAGCGTTGATGAATCGTTCTACGTCGCGCAAGGGCCGCGGCTGTTCCATCCATTCCCACTTCAGCTCTCCAATAACTGACAGTATGTTAGACCAGACGTGGAGAACAGTCATAGTAACGATGGTACCAACCCTCAGATATTACGAAAAGAAGCGTTGCTCGAAGGATAGTGGAAAAGACAGCAATGAGGGCGTTGATGCTAATCTGGTCTGCGAAATCTGGTTGTATTCGGCCGTTGTACTTCACCAAAAGTCCAACAATGCCTGCGAACGATGATATTGAAATGATCAAAGCTAGAAGTTCGGGCTGCCACTGTTTGAGATTTTCAAGCTTCAGTGGATCCCAGTAGGGAAGTGCGGTCTCAGCAATCGATGCCTCTGTGTTTCTTGTGAACAACGACCAAGCACCGGCGTCATCTTGGGAAGGGTCATCTTGAGGGGGCCTCTCGTAGGCTTCTAGGCGCCTTCTATACCAAAAAGAGGTTTCCTGCGACGGGGCGTGGAAATCTTCTGTGTCATCTTCGGCCATATTCTCATCCGTTACTTGGTGGGAGTTCTCAGAGGTAAAAAGGTTTGTTTGTTCGCTCCGTGATATACAGGTGCCTATGTCCTGGCCTTCCTCCTCTTCGACGAGAAGTGGGGATTGCGACGAGTTCGCTTCCGATACAGGAAGATCCCGATCAATGTCTGTGAGAAGATTCGCCATGTTCGTAGGAGCGGCGGTGGGATTGGATGGTGAAAGGATGACAAGACAGCCTTGCCAGATCAAGGGCTTGGGAAGTGGCTGGTCTTTATGGGACTGGGTAGATGCGACCATGTGGCACAAGCATTAACCGCGCTGTCGTCCTCACGAATCATTAAACGCGTCTTACCACTCCGTTAATCGTTGTGCACACTACATGGAACATAGCCAATCGCCGGCTCTCAATCTCCAGCCAGCTGAAATACTACACTCTTGACGCAGGATT